CATATTTAATCATAATTGCCCAGCCCTAATTCTCAGACATCATCTCATCCTTTATTCCCTCCTGCGCGATGCACCGACAGTTCTCGTGGCGAAGTTTGAAATCGGAGCCTTTGATCGAGCCATCGAGCAATGTCAAATTACCGCAATCAACGTCGTTCCTGTTGGAATTTGGCAAGCGGCAGCGCAGCCGGATTTTGCCAGGAACCAGGAACACGTACGGAGTTTCCCACTATCATTGAAGTGTGAACTGGAGTTTCCTAAAGAGGAAATTTGGTTCAAGTCCGTAAGTAGATGAGTAAATTATATTCAAGTCCGACTGGAACACTGTTGAAGGAAGCTGTGGATGTACTGAAGAGCTACTTGGGGTGCGTATCGTCGAACCTTCCCTGCTAGGTGTGTGGTTGACTTTGGTTGGTTTAGTCCCAAGTACATCTCACCGACGACTAAAATACGGTTCTCGAGTATTTAGGAGCCAGGGCCGAGTCTCTGGTGGACGCGCGAGCCATAGCCGCCAGGCATGCAATAGATCTCGAGTTGCTGTCTTCAGTCAACGCAGCTATCGCTACCTTGACCTGCAGGGTGCTTGGCAGTTTAGCTCGGCACGAAGCTCTTCTTCTCGAGCTCGATCTCATCCCACGACTACTGTCGCTTGCGCGGTGCGCCGAATTCATGACCGTCCTGTGTTGACACCGATTTTCTCTGGATCCGCGGACGCCCATGCGACTCAGGAGATCGCGATTTATACGTTGTGTTGGACGTTACGATGATCCGAAGCTGCGGCCCAGGCTGCTGTAGCTCATGGTGTTTTAGATGACATCATATGCAGTCTAGACTCCTCGCACCCCGAGGTTTTAGGGTGGACCTGCCTCACCCTCGGACATGTTGCACGATACGAGGGGTTCCATACCAGAGTCCTGGAGATGTGCCCATGCGGGTTGATCGTATCTCTCCTACAGTCCGACCTACTCTATCCCGCCTCACGAATCAATTAAAGTCGTTTTCGTAGGAGCCTGACAGCCACAGTACAAAACCAAGCGCTATATGTGCTGTGTTAAATCAGTTACTAGTCGGAGACGGGGGTCCATCAGGTCCTCGACGCCAATGCGCTTGAGCATGTAGATGAATTGCTGCAATCAACAGACACCTATTCTCTCCTACGCACCTGCCGATTGATGGGGAATATCTTATCCTCGCAAACTATTTCGGTGTCAAATTCGTATCTATGATCTTCCCTGAATTGAGGAAGACCCCGTCACTGGCCAAAATATTCTTGAACAGCTCGTCAATGATACGTCATGTCACCTCACTGACGGTCCTGACAATATTGAAACTGAAGAGGCGGCACCTTGGACGCTGGGCGGAATTAGCTGTGCGCGAGAAGTGTCAAATCCTCGGCTTGTTTTGAGCAGACGGCCATGTGCCATCGCAATCGGTTACTAAATGGCCGCCCGGTTTCTTCCTCATCTCGAGGTGGAAATCGCCAGTTTTAATCAGATCAAGCTCCTTAAGGTCTTGGCCGAGCAGCCCGCGGGCTACGGACGGCACGTCACTCCCGCGGACCACTACCAGACTGCGCTCCTCTCGATGGTAGAAGTCCGGGATGCCAATCAGTGCTGCAGCCCCACCTGCCCGAACCAAGGCGCGGTTCTCTCCATGCCCTGCGCTCAATGCGGCGTCATCCGTTTCTGCGACCGCGAGGTGCGTCGTCTCCCTCCTCGAGTGCTAATTGGACCAGCTTGCACACCCTATTCGCAGCGGCCATAGTCTACAGCTGGGTCGTGACGGGGCGCGAACTCGACATCTCCAACGTCATGGTCACAGTTATGGGAGTAGGCGAGCACTCTCTCCCTTCACAAGTTACTGTTTTGACCCCGGAACGTTCCAGTTATCGGCTTCATGATCTCGTACCGTGCGATGAGCGGGTCCGTCGTTTTGCAGGTCATTTTATTGGGAAACTGATGATATCATTCAAACCTAACCCTAACGACCGCTACTGGCTTGGGCGCACGGCATGGACGGTTACGCTTCAGCCCGCGGATTGCTTGGTGCCAGGCGCAGGTGCCGGCGCTGTGGCGACCAGGCTGGATGCAGCCAGGATGGCGGGGGAGATGAGGCAGCTCGCAAAGATGGCGCGTAGCTCGCTAGTCCTGTCGAGTTCGGATAAAGAGTCGGGGCTCTCTTCGGTCCCTAACCGCGGATGTAAGACGCTAAATGTGGACGTCTGTCAGATTGGAGGCGGGTAGTTCTGATGAACTAAGTTCAAGGACCTTTTCGGTCCCCACGTTAGAGTAGCTTCGCTGAATTTTGATGCATCAGAGGACCGACTTCAACCTGGGACCGAACCTTACGGAGATATGTGTGTACTGCACCAATTCTGCGAGAGACCAAGTACACCGAGATGGCCGAAATTGTTCCTTTTGAATTGGCACGGGTTTTTGTTACGGCGGTTACTCGTTCGAGTCGTTTAACAAGCGAAGTATGAGCTTCGACAAATCTGCGTTTTGAGCTTCTGCTCCTAAGTTGACTGGAGTTCGACCATTGGCAAGACTCTGTCCACTGGCGAAACCCTTCAAAACCTCAATGCGGCCAAAAAGCAACGCGACGGCAGTACTTCCTACGTCCTCACCAACGCGTTTTCCGTCTCTGTCGGGGAACCCATTTGCACAATCACCGCATCAGTCAATCTAGTCCCACCAAGCCGACTTTCCATACTACACATGCCATATTGCGAGCGCTACCCAATGCGGGGACCCTCTCAGCGTGGCTTAGCGCACTCTGGCAAGGGACTCATCCGTTCCCGCCCATCCGACTTGCGCGGTCCATCGGAGGCAATTTGACAAGACCGCTCCAACACTACGTACTGGGCCATGTACTTCGCTTCAGCGAGTCAATGACGTTCCTGGTGGCTTTCCCTGGCTCTGTTGACTTCGTTTGGGGGAAAGGTCCTAGCGGCGAACAACTAAAAAACCTCGTTGACTTGAATACCCGCCATCCTCGTAGGGAGCCTTGTTGTTGGGATATTGTGGCGACGGGTGGCGCAGATTGGACCACGCCGATGATGCCCTTCTCGGGAGGCAACTTACCAAGGTCGAACTAAAAGCCCCACCACCCGTGGTAATCGCAGGTATTTGCGATGAATAGTCCGACCCTAATTCTCTTCGCAGACCCCTCGCAGCCTCCCTCGCTTCAACGGGAGTCACGTTCTCCTGTGTGTACTATAAAAGGGCGTCAAATGCCTCCCCTCCCTTCCACAGACCACCGCGCCTCCCAACTTGAAGCTCAATATCGTTCTTGCCATGCAGTTCAGCCACCTCATCTATCTCGCCGTGGTCGGTGCAGCGACCCTCGTCGCCGCTGCGCCTGCTCCCGGGAACACTAAAGTCACCATTACTTTCGAGGACGGCCTCGGCTCTGAGGTCACCCTGAATCTCGTTATATCGGTCCTCCCACTGACCGAACCCCAGGATAATTACCAGTACCTCGCAAACCACGTCCACAAGGGTGGGCTTACCTTGGAGCACTCCGACAGGGAGTGCGATAACAACAACGAGTGTCCGCACATGTGCTACCGCGTAAGTTCGACTCGGTGGTCTTGCTCTTACAGTGGACTGACAAGTCCGATCCTAGGGAAAGTGCTACTAACATGTACGCACGCATAACAACCAAAGGATACAACGGACGAAATCATGGACGCAGCGGCATTCGGATCACTGACTAGGTTGCGGAAGGGGAAAGAAAAGAAAAGGAGGAAAATTCAGAAAAAAAAACATGTACTTGCTATCTACTGTGGCGCCCAGGACGGGCCTAAACGTCCAATTCTCGCACTGTGTGACTGATTCAGCTTTGGCGAAAGTGCCCCGTTGCTGTCCGTCCTTGACACTGACGTTTCGCCATTCGCTTTTCACCTATATGCCTCGTGTTTACACTATTACCCATCGCTCGCTGTTCGCTCGCGTGGAGCGAATTTCCCTGATGCAGCGACAAGAAGACTGACGAGATGCAGGCGCGGACTCATCGCCATCGAGCCCCTGCTATCGGTCTGATTCCCCTTCCCACATGCGGTGAAAAAAATGGGTATCGAGCAGAGACTAGGTACTGACACACCGCGAGGGACTGGGAAGGGAAGGCGGCCCCGGGGTAAATGTGAAGGCGAAACCCGCAGATCGATTGCGATGATGAGCCGATGTCCGCGAGAACGTCACTCCGCTTGCAGCTCTTGCGCATTGAAGCAAAGAATGCTGCGCTCGGCGTGGAACCTGGGGCAAGCAATGTGTAGACCATGCGTGGCCGAGTAGAACGCCGAGAGGAAAGGAGAGATCCCGGAGGTGTGGAGAAGGGGGCCGGGGCACGCGAGGCGATGCGACGGAGCAGTCGAAGCGCGCGGGGCGCGACGGGCCAGATAATCGGGCTTGCCTGCGGGTGAGGAGGGCGCGTCGTGCAGCGGAAGATGTACGGCGTGCAAGCGCAGGTCAGCGCGGAGGCATATATGGGCTATGGCGTCGGATCGCAGTCCACGGGCGGGGTGGAGTATTATGACCCGAGCGCGGCGGCGGCGCTTCTCGCAGTCGATCGAATGTGTGCCGCATGAGCCCGGCGTCATCGGGTTAGACACGAGTACTAGCACTGGGACAGAAGGCGATGAAAAGCAAAGAGTATTAAAGGATGCAGGTTGATGACGTCACGATCTTTGCCCGCGAAGTTCGGCAGCTTGAAGGAAGAGCTCAATTGACTTCTCCCGCATCGAAACTTCCCGTCTGCTCAAGCTTATATTCATGTAATTGTGTTGGTAGCGGCCACTGCATTGGACTCATCTTGACAATATCGATCTTCACCGAATCACCAAATGTGATTGAGCTTGAAGCAATGAAGCACATGCCGAAAATCTCTCAAGGTGCCCCCTCCTGTTCCCCCTGTACGCACAACCAATTTGCAGGGAAAGTGGGTATCTCCGCTCGAGTAGCGCCAACGAGCAAAAAAAAAAGACATTGTCGGACAAGGCATAGCCCGACCCCGAGTCGAACGGGGCCTCCTGCATAAGTGAACTGTTGAACAGTTACCAGATGCAGACGCGGTCCTCCGCCATCGAGCCGATATTGAGTGCCAGGTGTACCTTGCTATTCTCCTGCCAATACCAATCAGAGGAGCCCGAGGGTGGGCAGGGAAGTAAGATAACATCAAAAAGAAGTACATATAACTCTAATGCTCCGTCGCACAGACAGAAAAAGTTCCGCGCCTTCACTGGCTGCTCTTCAAGTACATGCATAACGGCACCAGCGACCCGCGAAAAAACACACTCAATGCTCCTCCCATGCCCGGTCCCGAATCGAACGGGCCTCTTGCATACGATTCCCGACAACAGAATTATCAGGTGTGGGTACAGCCACCCGCCATCGAGCCGCTGTTAGTGGGGAGTATACCCTTGCTGTATACTGCACCCCCGAGGAGAGGCAGAGAAGCTCTCTAAGTTCAGGCAGAACCCAGTACCATTGAATCAATAAATCGTGGCTCATGCTTCACACCGCAAACATAAGATCCACCTAATTTCCCAACTGGCGGGAGGAAAGACCTCGTACCATCATTTTCATGTCCCGATCCCGAATGGAACGGGCCTCCTGCATATGATTCTCGTCTACGCATTAATCAAGTGCCGGTGCGGACCACCGCCGTCGAACCGCTGTTAATGGGGAGTGCACCCTTGTTGTATACTGCACCTCCGAGGAGAGGCAGAGAAACTCTATGAGTACATGCGCTATCAGAGCCATAGCAGTAATATTTAGTCTAATGTGCATGGCTCTAGCCATAGTAAATGCTTCCTAAAGCCACGACTCCAGCCATGCGATGGCTGGGTCCATGGATCAAGACTAATGGTACAGCAGGTTTTAAATAGCAAAATGAATACTACCAGCAAGGATTGAACCACTGACCAGCAAGAAACAGAGCAAATATCAGAAAGTGTACTATAACCATCTGAACTACAAGGCCTTTCTACTGCCTTTTCCCATCCCACTTAGGGTAAGGGCACTTACCCTAAGTGGGACTAGCTAATACCCAGACCTAGGGCAGGCAAGCTGCCCTAGGTCTTCGAAATTGTATTGCCAAGCTTATTATGTGGTTTTGTTAATTTTCCTAACACTAACCAACCCTAACCCACCCTAACCAACTAACCATCAAAAGCTGACAAAACACCCTCAACAACCTTTTACAATATACCTTGGTCCTAAGCCCTAACAAACCCTAACCACAAACTCTAACCACTAACCACTAACATGGCCCATAAGGCGGGGCCTGCTGGAGTTAGAACATGCTTTTATGAATCAGTGGGGCACCATATACTCCACAAGATTCCCTTGTCCTTTATTCCTCCTTAGCTCAGTTGGTTATGCTCTTGGGTTCTGTTTCTTTCTGTAATCAGAAGGTTTTGGGTTCAATCCCTGCCACTGCCTTTTATTAATTTTGCCTGGCCCCTTAGCCTCTCGCAATGGCCCTAGCCAACAGCTGGCTAGAGTCATGGCTTTAGATAGCATTTCCCCTGGCTAGCTCCATACCTTGAGACTAAATCGTCCTGCCATGGGTGGCTATCAGACCTCGTACCGTCCTTGAAACCGACAAATTAACCCGTTCTGATGTTCTGACTAACTTCGCGGGATAAAAAAAACTTACGTCCCCTCGAATGGCCTGCTCCCAACTCGTGTAGTGAACCACACAGGTGCGGTCCAGCCACGGTCGGCCTTGTTGTATTCACTATGGAGTGTACCGAGCTATATAGCATCGTTCATAGCGCAAAAAATAGCTGGGGGCTGGGGTCGAGTTGGTTGAGTGGAGGTGGTCCAATATATGACAGTCTTGGCGCAGAAGGACTGCCTCGCGCGCTGGAACTCGTGGCAGCAGCTATTGTCTCATGGATCGAGTCGAAGCCCAACTCCTCGTGCGCGGTGGCGGAGACATATTGGCAAGCAAGGCCCCATAATGCGCAGCGCTCACACGGCCAGTGCCTCGCGCTCTCATCGGACGGCCAGCACTATGCGACGCATTCCCGACTGGTGAGCGTATCAACGCACGAGGGACATCCAATTTGATCTTCTGCCTCCGACAATTTAAACATGCCAGAGCCGTCCGACGCTGCCGTATTTGAATTGGTACTGACTCGGAGTATTGTGCAGAATAACCCGTCGAGTATGAGGTAGACATGCGAGTCATACACCCATGGCATCGTGGTCAGTTATTTACGCTCATTCGAACTCAATAGACACGAAGATTGCAGTTCCAAGTCCACAAAAACGGCCAGGATGAGGCCAAGGTTGCATCATCTCAGTGTTAAATGATCAGTACTTACTCTCAACGCTTACCACTGAATCCCTGTCAAAATATCGATCACCTCAGGTCATTTCGGCTCCTCGTAAGATGCGTTGGGAATGACCTTTCCGTCCTCGAATGGTACAGCACGGACGACGGTCCGTAGGTGGCGTCAGCATCGAACTTGAAGTGCGCCTGCTGTGCGCATCGATATTGGAGGGCATTGCCATCCTCTTGCTTATCATCCGTTGAGATAGGGGACGTGCGAACGGCAACACTGTCAGACTCAGACTCACCGTTTAATTTGTTGTGAGTTGCAACACTGTCACCAGAAACTCTCCAGACTGGAAAATCCAGACGAGTTACAACATTGTCCTAAATTGAATTGGGCACCCGCAGTTGGTACCGGCTTCCAATGGTTTGTCAGCCGATCGCTTCTTACGTCCGTACCACCACCACCACCAATTCATCCCACCTCCCCCCATCGACGACGTGCGCGAAATATCCTAGGCCGCGTCCAGACGGTCACCCACAGCGGGGACGCCTTGGGAGTAGAGGCGATGTATCGAGCGGTATGTTGTAGTCGTTTCCCCCCAGGATTACTGACAAATTTACGATGGAAGCTGGCGCGGCACGCCGATCCCATGGGCGGCAGCAACGATCCAACGCGAGGTATTCCGCAACTTTCGGCTGCAGCGCTACACTGGGTTCGTCGTTCTCTTGCGCCGAAGCTGTAGTGTGTGTACAGATGTGGGACGCGCATCGCTGACTTTGCGCTGTGCGCCACGGGCCAGAGGCTGCAGTTAGCAGGTGAGGAAGCTCACTACGGTAACGCTCCCACCGCCGAGCCAGTGTGCAACGCGGGCGAGGGAGCGGAACAATAAACACAATATACCTCTTCAAGTTTACCGCATTCGCATAATTGTATGTAGTACACAAGTGGATAGGTAAATGGCTCACATAATTGATTTACTATATTCCTCGGGGCTACAGTAGTCTCTAAGTTCTATTTTATTGGTCTAGACTCGGAGTTAACATCTTGAACTTGTCGCTATGCGAACTTGAATGTGGGCAATGCGCGCCGGGGACGCGGGATTGACGTGCATATAGCCGACAGTGTTGCCAGTGCTCATTGCACTCCAGACTGTAATGATTTCAGCGACAGTGTCACACCACGCTGCCCGCTAGCCGGTGAGTCTGAGTCTGAGTGTATCGAACTTGGTTGATCCCCGTTGAGATAGGAAGCCTAGCTGTGGAACATCTGCTCCGAACCTTCAAATCAACCTGGGTCGTTTCCAGGGCCACGGTGGGAAAGACGCCGCCACGTACTACGAAAATAGAAAATAGGATGAAACGGTCGTCCAGGTGATGGCGCAGTCATCTGAACGGGATTTGGCAAGATCGGCGCGTAAGGGCGCCCCGAGTTTCAATTATCTGTCAACATTCGTTGGCGCGCAAATTTCCGTTAGAACAAACAGCTTGACATCCTCCTCGGTAAGCGGAGTCTTGTTTCAATTATAGGGAGGCAGATTTATATTGTTCCTGGCGGCGCAAAGTCAAACGGCAAAACGTCCTCACGCAGGACTGGAGACCCACCGGGTATACTAAAATTTGTAGGCGTCGATTAGATCGTGGGTGCCGTGCGTTTGGGACTATTAGTGGACTGAGTGTATGATGGTTCCTTTGTACAAAAAATAGATCAGCGCGCGCGAAAGAGGACCAGCGCGCACGAAAGAGTTCAGTGCCCGCGTGAAAGAGTATTGATTCAGTAATTAATATGTACTATTGCAAATAAGGGCGAAGAGAAATTTTACAACTACATCAACCCTCCTCTGCCTCAAATGCTGTCAGTAGCAACTTGCACTACAGCCTCCGGCACCCGAGATACTTATTTATTCTGTTAACACTCCCGATCATCACTAGATTTCCAGCGGGAGGGACAGCTGAGTTTCTCAAGACTCAGGCACTATTGGCAAGAATGATTGCCTCCCGTGCCGTCCAGCATACAGACGACATTGGGTTCGGGAATCGGCAAACGTCGGGATGATCCGCCAGATAAGATAAGATATCGTGATTAAATTAGATTGGGCGGCTTTCCCCCGGTTCACATCGATTCCGCGAACGAGCCTGTAAGGCATGCAAGGTAAGGAGGAGAGAGGAGTCAGGGTTCGCTGATTCTACCCAAATCCGGCTGTGCCAAGGTCGAGCGGTAGAAAACCATGATTTCGAACATATTTTGGATTTATTATATGACATGTGCAGGTTTAACACGGAGAGGAGGGCTACCATAATATGGTGCCAGGACAAACTTCTTCGTGGGTCAGGTATACATAGAGGACGTTGTGGGACTTGAGGGGACTGCCCGACAGCCACTCGGCTCGCCCTCGGCTTGATGACACCTCCTGGCTGACTCAGGTTTCTTTCGCGCGGAACCAACCTTCTTTCGCGCGCGCTGGATCTCTTTCGCGCGGTTTTTGTACAAACGAACCCTCATAGAGTGGAGTCCGGCCAGAAACATAGACCTACGACTCTAGATCTACGAGTGGCAGTAGGAGAGTAATATACCCGCTACTGGAAAGTTCGCTGGCGGCCGCCGGTGGCCGCCAGTGATTATCGGTGGCCATCGCCGGACGCTGTATGGTGTTGTGTGCCAACGGAGACATCGGGATCCGCCAATCACCAGCGGCATTCACCGGATCACCAACCCAACTGGCCACTGAATTCCAGCGGAATCCAGTGGACGCCAGTGGAGAACGCCGAGGATATTACAATAATATGAATGCATGGTATGTGTCT